CACCTTGTTTTGATATTCTTTTACATTCTAGTTTCAACTCACATGCGAATGCGGTGCATCATTTTTGCCCTGTCGACAAGCCCATGTTCAAGCAAACGGTCAAGCCCAGGTCATCGGTTTCCATTTGGAGCCCTCGATTCTCCTTCAGATTGGCATGCTTCAACGTACGCACATTACTACAACTCGGTTAACATGCAACACTTGCCCGAACATTTGTGGCCCTCTCGATCGATATCTGCTGCTTATCGGAGACCCACCTGCAAGACTCGAGCTCAGTGCTGACTTTGCGATCCTCTTCAGGTGGCACCAGAAGTAGTTTCTCATTGCGCTTATCCGGTGACGATGCAGCTTCGAGCACCGGCCAAGCTGGTGTTGGTGTTGTCCTGAGTCCCCCGGGCTGAAGCTGCTCTAGTTGATTGGATCCCAATCAGTAGTCGGATGTGTGCGGTCTGATTGGCTGGCTCATTCAAAGCTTCGAACTCTCGCGGGACTACCATGTGTCTATTCATTATCGATGCCTACGCGCCCACAAACTCTAGCGATAATCGGTAATGGACGACTTCTTTTTTTCTGTATTGTATACATGTATGTATTTCCTTTATGTATTGCTGTACAATAGCGGAGGTGTTTCACCACCTCTAGCTGACATGTATAATGATGATGATGATGATAGCCAACTGAACGAGCTCCTTTGCCACAAAAGAAGCACAGACACTATTGTGCTGGCTGGAATCTGAACGCTAAATTTGGTAAAATACCTACTGATAAACTGCATCTAAACGGTCAACATAGTGTAGGCTCCCGTAATGATAGCGGTGAGCGGTTACTTCATTTGTGTGAAGATGCCCGCTTATCTCTTGCGATCACTAATTTCCGACACAGCACCCGCCGGGGGTGACTTGGCGTCCACCAGCCTTGAACCAACTATGGACGCAGATCGATCACATTGCGATAAGTTACCGCTATAGTGGCTGCATCCAGCACTGTCGCTCGATTTAGAGCACATGTGTGGACACCGACTATGCACTTGCATATGCTGACCTGCGGATGCGTTTCATTGGACGCCCACGACGACGCTGTGAGCGCATTGACACAGGCCAACTGGCGAAGCTAGCTGTTCTGAATGGGTATCGAAATACGCTGACGTGCAAGTTGAGTAAGCGATCGCCGTAAACAATTGAAGCTCACTGGTCGCATGTTCACCAGAGCTTACTGGCAGCAGGCACATCCTCATGTGGTAAGTCCAATAGCCAGCATGGACATTTGGTTTTTTCGCGGTCTCTGGAACTTATCGATGCTTGACGGCACATTCCTCCTGGAAGCGAACACAGTGAGACTGGCAAAGAGCTCCCGGCAAAACTCCGTGCTAGCTTGAAGAGAAACCGCAAATCCTGGTGGCCTCATCGTTCACCAGAGATGGAAATGGTCATTGCCGTTGCTAATCATCGAAAGTTATTCTGTCTGATGCGGTAAACGGGCAACTGGAGACCTAGTGTTAGTGAAACTACGTAACGAGAGTAGGCAGTCTATCCACAGCTTGTCAAAATGTTTGGAGTGTTGGGCTGAGAATTTTGGAAAGCAATTTACTCGACCGGAATTGTTCGATTCTTCGCCGGCCAGGGATCGCCCTGCTCCTTGGGCTGTCCCTTTTGTTCCGCCCTCTCGCTCAGAAGTCGAACATGAGATCGGAGTGTTAAAGTTGAACAAAGCCGTGGGACCAGGTGATCATCCTGTCCTCTTCAAATTCGGGAGCCCTGCTTTTGTTGATGATTTACACGAATTACTAGTGAAACTGTAGGAGCAGGAAATTGTCCCAGCCGACTGGAGCCGCTCCATTATTGTTCCTATCTTTAAAGGAGGCTCGCGTTCGGAATGCGGCAGCCATAGAGGAATCAGTCTGATCCCCATCGCCTCCAAATTACTTGCCTCTATAATACCTCACAGACTGACTGGCACTGGTGAAAGCCAGATTCATGCGGAGCAAGCCGGACTTCGTCATGGTCGTGACTGCATCGAGCACATCTTCACTTTGCGTCAATTGTTGGAGCACCGTCACACATATTGCGTTGTGAGACAAGGTTGCTCACTGTCACCTTTCTTGTTCAACTTCGCTATTGACGAAGTCATGGAAATCGCGTTCAAAGGACACGACTTAGCAGGTGTGGATCTGCTCCCAGTCGAAGGACTTCTTGACTTGAAGTATGCAGACAATATTGTCCTGCTCTGTGACAGCTCCCTGACGCGCCACGCTGCACTGGCTATCCGTCACTTCGGGCTTTGCTTTGCACCATCGAAGTGCAAAGCTTTCCTCCATGATTGACAGAGATCGCCTCCTGCGCTGACCCTTGGTGTTTATCAGCTAGAAATCGTTCAGAAATTCAACTACCCGAGTTGTATCAGTGCCCGTGGGATTGAAGATAAGATAACGAACCGTATAGCAAAAGCTCGAGGCGCTTTTGCTAAGCTTTGCCACTTATGACACCAGCACGACATCACTCTCGTCCTGAAGGTTAGAGTGTACAATGCAGCTGTACCTTCGATCCTACTGTACGGTTGTGAAACCTGGCCCCTTTGATCAGCGGACCTAAAGAGGCTAGTTACGTTCGACCATCGGTGCCTTCGCAGTTTGGCTCACATCTGGTGGGAACACCGCGTGAGTAACGAGCGTGTTCGACGCCTTGTTTATGGCACAGAAAAATAGAAATGAACCGCTCAGCACCGTTATTTCACGCACCAGGCTCCGATGGCTGGGCCACGTGTTGCTCTTGCCAGCCCACCGGCTCCCGCGACGTGCGTTACTTGCGCGCCGAGGGTTTGGGTGGAAGAGGAGGAGGAGTGGCCAAACAATGACTTGGTGGAGAGTAATGAAGGCCATCACTTCGAAGCTGGCTTCAGTTCGAGCTTCTCGGCTCCCTGGTTGGGCTCCGAAAGACGATGCACACGTTTGGCTGGATTCACTTGCTGACATGGCTAGGCGCTGACCTCACTGGTGTTCGTGCTGTGAGTTTTTTTGTCCCACCCAATCCCTCTTAGCCTCCCCCTCCATCTACGATCTTATTTCGTAGGGTAAAACGTAATTAAATTTTTGGTTTTGCCTAGTAGCCGGCTAGTAGCTTACCGGAACGATGCCCATCCGTTACCGTTAACTCAACTGGCTTGCATCTATTGCATTTCCCCCTTTTTATGTGTTACCGCACGGTAGCTGAGGTACTTCCAACCTCTGGCTAACGTTTATAATGATGATGATGATGATGATGGTAAGTAGCCACCGTCATTCTCTCCGGACGAGAGTTTGTCAGACCTCTGATCATTGATCGATGTGGTGTGAGTGGCTTAGAAGGTTTGTATGTATCACCCAACACTTCTTAATGGATCGTTGGGACACACAAACCTCCGCAATACGTGTATAATGATGGTGCTGATCACCAGGTATCGCTAGCATACATCGGGAACTTTCTGCTAATTTGCAAATGTAGTCAGTGGTTTGGTGCAGCTGGATGTTAGTAAACAACAATTATACGACAAAGTAACACATCATTTTATCTGTCAAGTTTATTTTGTCGAGGTCTTCTATCAGTTAAAACAAATCGTTGAGGCCGTAGGCGTTAAATTGATCTTTTAACGACGGTAACGCTCTCATTAACCAGCGAGCAACCTTATGTTGAGGCGCGTTAACCATTAAGAGAATCGATCTGAGTGGCACTGCACTCTTATGTTTCTGGTAGCCCATATAGCTGCGGTGTGATTGCGCCACTTGACCTTACAATGTTGTAAGTTGCATTGTTCATTACACGATACTACAGGAACATTTATAGTTGACCAAAACTGCGATCTTCGCAGTCACCTGGGCTCTCTCAAGTCGTTTACCTTTACTTGGAGCATTCAGTATGATGCGCATCTTGATTTACTCCTCTTTCTTCCTAACTACCACTCCTGACCCCTTATTAGGCTGCATTACGACTACATCTCTAGCACACAGTTCACGTAGTGCGGACAGCTGCGGATTTGTTAGTGCGCACTTTTCTTTTGGTGGCATGGTTTTTACTTCACAGGCAATGTCAGCTTGTTTTGAACCATATAAACTTATTAGCACTAGTTGGTTGGAGCTCATACACCTGGTCAAAGATTCCCAAACTGACCTTCAATAAAAAACCACTTGTTTGTCTAGGAAGCACTTTGTTATGCGGCCTGAACAATATTGCTTCCAACTGTAAATCATCACGTTTCACATTTAAGGGGTTCACCATTTACTCGTGGTCGCGGATACCTGATCCATCATCTTTGTTGTCCATCAACAGTTTTTTTAGTCGAGCTAGCTCATTCGTTTTTCTGCGATCGATGATAGCATTAAAAAACTGATTGTATTCGATCTGACAATAGTGGAATAAGATCGCGACGATTGGCAGTGGACGTACTTGTTTCCATTAGGCCTTCAAGTCCAGAATGTGCGGTATCCAGGTGAGCAGACTCTCCGCGCCTGAGGTTAGTTCCGGAGAGACTTAATTTGTTTCTGCACAAAAGTTTCTTAATCGGTCTAGAATAACGACGTAGGCGCATATTACACTCATTGTGGGAGCATTTCTTTGATCGATGGCTGCTAATAACTGATGGCTTCTCCCTACGCTTCATCTTCCCGAGTTAGCTGTCTTGGCTCGTCATCAAGTTTGACCGACTTTTAAACTACCTCGCTGTCATCACTTTCCAACTCGTGAGCATTAATTGCAACGCGGGAGCGCTTCCTTTCGCCACCATATTGTTGTGTCTACCAGGGTATCGAGATCTGTCTACTCTGTAGGATGCTGTTTGGTACTCGTTTACGGAGACCCGCTTATCACATACCTGTTTTTCTTTCGCGTCTCATAGGAGCCTTTTAGTAACTAGTTTCCGTGTTTTCAACATCACCGTACTTTGAAATCCTATCATCCGCACGTTGTTGGCGCAGTTTATCTCATGTCAGTTATTGGCCCGACTAGTTACACGTAATGTGTTTCTCCTTTTCAGCTACCCTGTTTGGTATTTAATGCCACCTTTTATTGATAATTTGCAAAAATTCATTGATGAGCACCTTCAGGCGGTGAGGGTAAGATCATCTACTTTAACTTTGTGGTAAGATCTTGCCTACTGTCCTTGGGTTTTCTGGTTGTTTCCTTTTGGCCAGACACTTCTATTTGGTTTGCGTTGGAACTATTGCTGACTGAAGAAAAGTTCTCTAGATTCCAAAGCGTTTCCCACATTCCCGTTGATGTGTTTTCCCGTGGACTGAAATTCCGTGGTTTGGTGAAATCTGTTAACAGTGGCGGAGAGATTGAGATCGTTCATCTACCTACCATCAATATTTTTCGGAAGAATGTACAAAGCTAGTTCTCTCTTACTTCATGCATCCTTCCTATATGTTACAGCTGGCACCCTTCCTATTATTCTCCCTCTCAAACATACGGAAGAGTCATTTAAATGGATACAGGAGCATGTGAAACAAAATTCACAGGTGCGCTTCACCCCATTGGGCTTAAGCTCGGACAAGGAACGTCTAATAGCTTTGCTGTTCCTCGGCAGGGCACGTTGGTCCGCGTTCCTAACATCTCACGTTTTAGGGACTTTACTACAGGGACATTACAGATACTTTGCTTCGTCGTGGTCTCAGCTCGTTATCAGTTAAAATGAGTGCCAACTTGGTGGATAAACAATTGAAGAACTACCAAACTGCTCAGTCTAGCGCCATTCAGAAATACAGAGGCATTTGGAAGAAGAGCACCAACCCTTCTGTTCTGTCCTACATTAAATGGCTGTTTATGAAAATATTTTCTCGGTAGTTTGTAAGGAATCACTCGAAATTCATCTTTTCCGCTTATTTTTTCGCTTTTTCTACCATCTCTTCACATCGTTTGGATGCGCTTTCACTTTGGATCTGCAAACGATGTTCCTTTACCTAGCCCCTCCTCTAAAGCACTAGAATTTGGCTCGGAATTTATGTTTTCTATATTTTCCTTACTATCGCTTCCCGCATTTTAATTCATTGCTGCACAGCTGCGTTGCGACTTTTATTGATCGTTTTCTTACTCATCATCACGATGCGCATCTTTTTCCCGGTTATATGAACAAAGGAAACAGTTGTCCACAACTCTGCTCTTCTGTTTTGCTTTGTTTTAGAAGCGGACGTATTTTCATTATTAAATGAGAGCATAATCGTTAAATTGGATAACCACCTTGCTGTTTACAACATTCGCCGCAGCGTGACTGCCATACAATCCGGGCATGCTAACATCTGTTTCCACACTGCGTTTTACTCTATTCTAAGCGCATTCCACTCTCTTTCTTGGACATTGGGTATCAGGCCACTCATTGAGGCTCATACTGCTGCCGGCGTTTCCGCCGCATGGATACACGGTGTGTTTTTGACCCCTTTGAATTTAGATCAGCCATAATTTTCATTGTGTTCCACGTTATACGTTGAATACGGCACGCTATCGCCATTTTAGCGCACACGACATGGAATGGAAAACACGCAGATTCGCGAGTTTGGCCCAATTATAAACAACTTCACTATGGTTGGGGACCGACCCAGATTTCCTCCGATACTCCATCTGTTCTTGTTAGACACTTTAGTCTTATGGTATCTTAGCGCCTATAACTGAGCTTCATGATTACTGATCATACATCCCCAAACGATTACATTGGCTGGTTGACTTTCGTATATTTCCCTCCAAGAAGCCAGTTCGTTTCAGACACTTGGATACTGAATACTAAATACTGTATTATGGAGTACGTAGAAATGAATTCTGTATAACTCCTTCGAAATATGATGAGAAACCTTATAAATATTATCACCCGTGGATATCGTTCTCATGTAACATTTAACCTATCTGACTTACGGTATTGCAGGACCCACAAATGTGGGATGTCATCGTTCAATCGTCAATCGTTCTCTGGATTGAATAGTAGTAAAATGTAAATGCAACAACGTTTTGAACTGCTGCACAGATGTGAGTTCCATCACATGTTCAGGCAAACGGTTCTAAATATTTACCACTCTCCGTTCGAAGTACGGTGGGTGAGGAACTCGCTTCACATCCGGCACCAGAAGTTTGTATCTGTATCCGCATGTGCAGCATGGCCCTTGTAAGTGTAGCACTGGTCTCAGCATGGGTAAGTCATCGAGATGTAGTCTACGGTAGGTCATACTGAGGTCGACTCGCATTCGACGGTAGGACAAGATGTAGAATCTTAGTCTGTCGCACCGGTCTTCATACCACAAGCCTCGTAACCTCGGAATGAGCCTGGTATCAACTCGTCGGAACCGTTCGATCTTCTGTGTCTCGCCTCGGGTAATCCATTCTCTAGTATTGATTTAATAATAGAAAAAAAGTGGCGAGTGGCAACCTTTTCAGACCGTACGCCGAAGCTAGTTTTGAGCACCCAAAGCATGCACAGTCCTTTAATATATAGCCTGTTTGTGTTATCCACATACTTCAAATCGCAGCGCGGGAGTACACCTAGGTCGTTCACGGAGGGTGTGGGATATAACTGTTGACCGTCGAGATCGTAGGTTCTGCCATCAGCATCATTCTCCTGGCTCATAAATATAATCTTTGCTGGGTTGACCGGGAGATGAACTTCTGCAGGCCATATGGATAGGCGGTTGTGGTCTTGCTGAAGTACGTCACAGTCGTCGAGTGTCAATTTCTCTACAGATCTTCATATCGTCCGCAAACACGATACACGGCGACCGGAGAAGCTGTGGTAGATTGTTGATGGAGGTCAGGAACAGAGTGGGTCCCAACACTGCCTTGTGTCATACCGCTTGAAGAGAGATACCAGTCAGTCGGTCGGTCGGATGGTCGTCGACCTGTACGTTCCACTTTCGACCAACACGAAAGTAGCGGATCCACCGGTCCAGTAAGCCATTGTATTTCATACTTAGACCTCATTCGTTCTTACCTTCCACTCAGTTGCTTATCAGAGGCCACGGAGTTCTCTAGTTCCTGTCCTCATTCTGAGTTTGCATAGTTCCGCGAGACTTGCTTCAAGTTTACCTGAGGTCACTTCATCATCATCATCATCATCATTACACGTTAGCTGGAGGTGGAAAACACTTCAGCTACTGTGTCGCAATACAAAAGACAAGAAAAAGAAAACAAATAGTGGCACGCCCGCTGAGTCCCCAGTAACGGATGGACATCGTTCCGGAGAGCTAACATCTGGCTGCCGTAAAAGAGTCATATTATGCCTAACAAGTGAGATCGTGATTGGAGGGTGATACTAAGCAGGAGAGGATGGACAAAGGAACTCACAACACAAACGCCATTGGAGCTGGCTCCAAGCCATATCAGCAAGTGTTCAACCAAACGTGTTCACCGTCCTTAGGACCCCAGCCAGGCAGTCGGGATGCACCAACGGACGCCAACTTCGAAGTGAGGGTTTTCATTTCTCTCGACCAAATCATCACTTGGCCTCCCCTCCTCCTCTTCCAAGCGCACCCACAACGCGCAAACAATGCACGTCGCGGGAGTCGGTGTGTTGGCATGCGCAACACGTGTCCCAGCCATCGGCGCATGGTGCGTGATATAATGGTACTGAGCGGTTCATTCGCTCTTCGTGCACGAAATACGCGACGTCGAACACGCTCATTGCTCACGCGGTGTTCTCATCAGACATGAGCTAAGCTGCGAAAACATCGATGGTTTAACATGTTTAGCCTCTTTATGTCTATCGTTCTGATGAGCCAGGTTTCATAACCGTATACGAGGGTTGAAGTGACAGCTGCATTATGCACTGTACCCTTCAGGGAGAGTGATGTCGCGTCGGCACCACAGGTGGCGGAGATTGGCAAAAGCACCTCGAACTTTCGCTATACGGTTCGTTACCTCATCTTCAATCCCACGGGTGCTAATATAGCTGCCCAGGTACTTGAATTCCTGAACGACTTCTAGCTGATCACCACCAAGCGTTAGTGCAGGGCTGGGTCCCTGCCAATCTTGGAGAAGTACTTTGCATTTCGATGGAGCAAAGCATAGCCCAAAACGATTGACAGCCAGTGCTGTTTGGCACGTTTGGGAGCTGTCACAGATTAGGGCAGTATCGTCCGCATACTTCAAGTCAAGAAGTCGCTTAACAGGAAATAGCTGCACACCTTGTAGGTCGTGTCCAGTGAACGCTGTTTCCATGACTTCATCAATAGCGAAGTTGAAGAGGAAAGGTGACAGCGGGCATCCTTGTCTCACACCGCTGGTGATACTGAAGGGTGGCGAGAGTTTGCCATAAACCCTCACCCTGCCCGAACTATGCGCATACAGCGCTTTGATAATGTTTACATATTTATCAGGCACACCTTTCCTCAGCAGAGAGTCCTAAAATGCACATCGATTGACTGAGTCGAAGGCACCTTTTATGCCAAGAAACACGACAACGGTGGGTAGCCAATAATCATGGCGGTGCTCCAACACTTGACGCAATGTGAAGATGTGGTCGATGCAGCATCCGACGTCGACGAAATCCTGCTTGCTCTTCACGGGTGCCAGTCAGTCTGTGGAGAATGACAGAGGCAAGCAATTTAGAGGAAATTGAGATCTGACTGATCCCTCTATGATTGCCGCATTCCGGACGGGAGTTTCCCTTGCAAATTGGGGCAATGACGGAGCGGTTCCAGTCTGTCGGGACTGTCTCCTGCTCCCAACGTTTTACTAGCAACTCCTGTAAATCATCTACTAGAGCAGATCCCCGAATTTGAAGAGGACTGGGGGAATTCTGTCTTCGCCTTATGCAATTTCAACAGCCTGATCTCACGTTCGACTTCTGCGCGTGAGGGCGGATCCAGGGAGAAGGGCGCTCAATGCCCGAAGAAGAAAGCGATAACTCAGGTTGATTGAATTGCCTTGCAAAGTGTTCAGCCCAACGCTCCAATCGTTTTGACAGGCTGTGGATCGGCTATCCACTCTCGTCGCGTATAGTCTCGCTAACACCAGATCTCATGCTGCCTGTTTCCCGTATCAAACGGATTAGCTTACGATGAATAACAACGGCAGCGGATGTTTTCATTTCAGAGGCACGATGAGATCACCAGGTTTCGCGGTCCTTCTTCAGGCTAGCACTTAGTTTTGCCCTGAGATTTTTGCGAGCCTCATTGTATTCGCTTCCAGCCGGAATACGTTGGCGAGCATCCATAATTTTCAGAGACTGTGTAGAGAGCCAGTGTCCGGTTTGGCAATCTGCTTTGCCACATGAAGACATGCCTGCTTACAGCAACGCTTGACGAATATGCGACCAGTGATCTTCAACAACACTGTCGCCATGCAGCGGCTCAAACTACGCAGCTAGCAGCTGAGCTTTTCTGCACATTGCTGTATTTACCGGGTTAAGTCGCAATAAACTAGCTGAGCGCATCTCAGAATACCGCGTTAAATATCTCTCCAAGCCACTCTGAACTCAACTGCGTTTTCCTCATCACACTACTACTACGTCATCATCATTATCATCAGCAGCAGTACATCAGCCATTCGAGCTGATGCTTCGTTGCTTTACAATCACAACTACCTACGGAACGAAGAATTATAAAAGTGAGAAAAGTGGGACTTACCGGAGAGCTTCAATGGTGTAGGCAAAGCTTCAGAGTCAAGGTCACTACACTTTGTCAACAACACCATCACAAACAGCTGGATATCATGCAAAGATAAAGTGACATCCTCGAGACTGAGTCCTTGCGGCTTTCACTGCCACGAGTCAAAATCATTCATTACCCCGTAGATAATACATTTTAAACAGGAAGCCCGTCTACGAGACGGCAGCAGACGCGCCACTGATGTCGACTGCGAGCCATGTCCTGTAACATCTCGAGACAAGCACAAGGCGGATCACGCAGACTTCCATCTGCGGACCAATGTCACCGAGTTTGTTCTCAGTGATTTCAGTTTCCGCTGCCACGTTAACGTTTGCCCACCTTTAGCCTTACACCACCCTACATCTGACAGACAAAACAAGACCCTCTTAGGTAGGCGGTGAGCAGGCCTACGCAGCATGTGCCCAAGCCAACATAACTTGTTCATTGCTATCTGTTTCTGTAAGAATCTACTTTGCTCACCAGTGCCTAGTACGCGCCCACGCACATACTCGTCACAGGCAGACTGGTACCACCCGGCGATAGCGATTCTCCGCAGATAACGATGATCAAAGATTTGAAGTCGCCTTAGATCTGAGCGG